GGGCAGTTCCACTCTGTCCTCTAGGGGCGCTGTGGGTCAGAATGGACTCCATGGCAGTGGGTGTGGTTTGGGCTTTGCTTCTGTGAAGATTGACAGCCTTGGAGACCCGGTGGGGCCTGACACTGACAGAAAGGTTGCCCATCCGCACAGCTCTCCCTAGACAGAGAAACGGCCACTGTCATCCAGCTTTGAGTTTTCAGCCAGCACCTCCTGTAGCGGATACAGTGACATCGGAAGCTCCAGCCCTTGGCTCCCCTCCCCAGGGATATGCTGACAGGCAGCTCTCACAACACGCGCGTCTTTCTGACGTGGCCCCTGCGAGCCCTGGCTGGGAGCCAGCCTCTTGCTGCCCTGGCCAGGCCAGGGCCAGGCACTGGTGAATCAACGCCATAACGAGGGCTCGTTCAAGTCCCCTGGACAGATGGACGCCAGGGCCAGCAGAATGGGTTCTGGGCGGTGGGCACATTCACTCTTCTGTCGGACCTTTGTTGTGTTTTAGAGGGGGCGAGAGCTGAAATCTCTCCCGAAACTTTGGTGCTGACGTCTCCCCTTCCTGGCCCCTGGCCTTCCACTCACCTCCGCGTTGGCCCCGTGGCCTGGCCTCCTGTGTCCTCCCGTCCTGGGTCCTGGGCCCTCCCTCTGTCTCGCCCGCTGGGGAAGGGCAGGGTGCAGGAGGCCAGCTTCTGGAACCTTCAGTTCACCTCCTGGGTCCCTCTCCCTATAGAACCTCAGCCCCCCCTTCCCAGGTCCCTCTGGAGTTTCCCTTCTGCATCTTGGGCAGCGTCCCCGTGGCTTTGAGGAGGGAAAAGCTGAACCAACTGGCACATTCGATTGCCTGGCACAGGGCTCTGTGGCTTGTCTTGTTTCTTTCTAGTCAGGCCTGGCGTTGCGTCTCCCAGCCCCGTTCAGCGCACACAAGTGTGTGCTTGGGAGTGGCCGCCTCCAAGGGCTGCCAGGTATCGGTGCCGCCGCTGCCGGAAGGCACCCAGTGAGCGGTCCCTGAGTGGGGGTGGGTTGCGTAACTGCCGGGCAGGCCGCCCGGGAGACTGTTACCTCGCCGTATCCACCTGCTGTTCCCTGTCCCACCCCACCCGACCCGCTCGCCTGCAGAGCTGGAGTGGGAGCCAGGGGCCCTGGAGGGGCTGCAGGGCAGGGCACGCCAGCCCAGAGAAGAAATGGGCAAGGACCACTTGACTCACCCCCCACAGCCTGCCCAAGGCCAGCAGCTAAGTCTGCCTGGAGGAGAGGACCACCGGGGCCCTCCTGGGCCAGGCGGAGTCTCAAAGCACTGTCCCAGCGCCCAGCAGCTCCCGAGCTGCCCTCTGCCCCCGCAGAGCGTGAACCTGGAATCCAGAGGGACTGGCCCAGGCAGGGCAGCAGACGGTTCAGGAGGATAATTGGCGGGGCAGGTTCGGTCCTCCCAGTTCCGCTAAGACACACATTACTCAGCGGGGAGGCCTGTGGGCTGTGGCGCTTGGCTGGCGTCACCTCTAATTGCCTTAATGGGGTTGGAGGGAGGTGCAGCTGCGGGGGGTTGGGGGCAGCCCCGCTGTGCCGCAGGCCTGGAAGGGGTGGGACGGAGGCTCCAGGTTCTCGGCCAGCTCGCTGCCAGGTGCCCCTGGACCCTCTCCTTCCCACCAAGCCCCTCACCTGGCTGCTGCTTCTCTTCTCAGTCAGCCTGGGCTTCTGCCCACCACAGCCCTACCGGGAGCCGGAGCCGTCGGTGGCCGAACCCCCATCTTGCCCTCTGGCTTTGGACATGAGTCTCCGAGACCCCAGCTACAGTGTGGCCCCTGCACCCTGCGTGGTGGCCCAGCTGCCCTCTGAAGACATGGGCCACCTAGCTGACGCCCAGGGCAGAGACGATGGCTTCCTGCGTACCAAGATGAAGGTAGGAGCCCTCCTCCTCCCACTGAGGACAGGGGCGTCCATTAGACCAGGCATGGGTCATGGCATGAGCCAGGCCTCAGGAGAGGCAGACCTGGGCCCAGGACCACAGAGAGTGACCCTCACTGGGTCCGGGTGGGAAGAGGAGTGGAGGCACAGGGCTCTGTGAGCATGCTGGGCCCTGCGAAGCAAGGGGTTCAGAAATGAGCCTGGGGTCCACGTTCAGGGGGGTTTCCATTGTGTTTCTGGCTAGAATAGGCCAGGGAAGCCCCGGTCGATGGCCACCTCTTTACACGGAAGTCCTAGGAGCAGGGTGAGATGGACGAGCTCTGCCCAGCGTGGCTCCTGTCTGTCCAGGTGTGGTCTGGGGTCAGACACAGGTGTTACGTACCCCATGGCCTGTGCTGGTGACAGGCCCTCCCATCAGCCTTCACCACAGCTGCGCCTGGACAGGAGCACCCCTGCTTTTGAGGAAAGCATCACCGTTGGCCAGCTAGAAGGGTCTGCCAGCAGCCATCAGTGGAAGGGTTCTCCTGGCGCTGTCTGCATGCCAAAAGACAGAGAGCTGGCAGTGCAACACTGTCCTTCCTCTTGCCCGTGGAGGCCAAGTGTGTGTTGTAACAGGAGGGAACAATGGAGAGGTGTGGCTGGCCACTGGGCTCCTGGATGACGTCACCAAGCCCCTTGCTCCCCTACGGATCCTGCCTCCCATTCCTTGAGGCCCTGTGGGGGAGGGCAAAGAGCAGATGGACAGACAGCAGCTGTGCCGGAGGACCGAGGCCTGACACAGGAGGTCTGGCCGAGCTGTGACAAGGGGAATTTTCCCGGGTACCACAAGACTGGCTTCAGGAGTCCAGGAAGGGGGGTGTTGACAGCGCCCAGGGAGCTGGGCGGGTGTTTCCAGTGACAGGGCCACCAGCACCCTCCAAAGTGTTAACTGAGATGGAGAGGCTGTGGTCCCCTCTGCTGGCCAGCACTCGGAGAGGTGCTGGGTACCCCGAGTGCAGGCGTTCAGAGAGAGCCACAGGGACCAGAACCTGCTTCACGGTGACCCTGGGCAAGGAGGGAGGAAGCAGGAGGGGGAGGAGGAGTGGGCCTGGCCGGCTGACAGGGCGTGGGGCTCGTGACACAGTTTCTCTACTTCCACATGTGTTTGAACTCTCCCACAGTTAGAATAAAATGAATAACTTTTGGGCAAGAGGGCCATCTGGGTGGCAGAGGGAGCCGAGCTGGCCACCTCAGGTTGGCTCACGCGGGAGCCAGGCTGTGCAAGAGGCCTTGGGCCACAGTGGTGGCCTCAGCCTGGGATGGCATCTTAGAGACATGCCGGGGTCGTTTCTTGCCATCCAGAGGCCAGGAGGAGAATGAATGAACAGAACTCCTGAGACCCAGATACGGGCTCTGCTTGAGGGTGGATGTGCCAGTGGCTGTTTCTGCCTGAGCCGGGGCAGGCTGCGTGGGGCGGCGCTGTGGTCTCTAGAGGTGGTGGCATCTGGGAAGGGGCTGGGGCTGGGCTTTGCTCAGGCTCCTTCCTGTCCTCTCCCGTCCACGTCAGCTCCACCACGGAGCTGGGGCTTCTGGAGGGGGAGCCCCGTTTCATGTCCCCCTACATCTCCCGACCCACGGCCCAAACTTCCGGGTGTCGGTCCTAAACCCCTTCCTTGCCCACAGGTGACCCTGGGGGATGGTCCCAGTGGAGACCTCTTCACCTGCCACATCTGCCAGAAGGCCTTCACCTACCAGCGTATGCTGAATCGTCACATGAAGTGCCACAATGACGTCAAGAGACACCTGTGCACATACTGCGGGAAAGGCTTCAATGACACCTTTGACCTCAAGAGACATGTCCGCACCCACACTGGTAAGAGGGCCCACGGCTGAGGCCAGGCGGGCGATGGCGGCTGCTGCAGCTCACCTGGAGGGCCTCTTGGCGCTCAGGGCAGCAAGAAACCCAGAGAGGGCCTCCAGTTCTCTCTCCCTCAGCGCCAGGGGTCCTGTCCTCTGGGCCCAGGAAGTTGCCAACAGGCCCTGAGGGGGACGGGCTTGCAGGGTCGGTACCACGGCCCCTCCGTGACTCCTGGTCCCCCGCTCCCCACAGGCGTGCGCCCCTACAAGTGCAGCTTGTGTGATAAGGCCTTCACGCAACGCTGCTCTCTGGAGTCTCACCTGAAGAAGATCCACGGCGTGCAGCAGAAGTACGCCTACAAGGAGCGCCGGGCCAAGCTGTACGTGTGTGAGGAGTGTGGCTGCACGTCTGAGAGCCAGGAGGGCCACGTCCTGCACCTGAAGGAGCACCACCCCGACAGCCCGCTGCTGCGCAAGACCTCCAAGAAGGTGGCTGTGGCCCTGCAGAACACTGTCACCTCCCTGCTGCAGAGCGACCGCCACCTGTGAGAGGCCCCACAGGCCCAAGGGTCCTGGCTCACCTGCCTGCTGCCGGCTGTCCGCCCTCCCGCGGTCTCCTGCTGGGACATCAGCGTCAGGACCGGATCCCCGTGCCTCGGCCTGTCCCTGGGCACGTGTGCTCACTCTTCTAGTTTTGTCTCAGGGGCAGAGACCACTCTGAGCCTGGGGACGTGTGCGAACGGAGGGGCGGGATGAGGCCAAGACTGCCTTCGACCAGGAGCAGTGAGCTGACGAAGACCGCGTGAGGCAGCGCTGTTCCCTGGGTGGCAGGGCTTCCTCCCCAGGAGGGCACGAGGGTGGCTCTGCCAGCCCGTAGCCCACGGCCATGCTGTGGTTCTCACGGGCCTCGGAGCAGACAGTGCTAGCCAGGAGCATCCTCCAAGAGGAGGGCCTGTCAGTATTCCTCACGCTCAGGGCTGTGGGGAGGCTCTGCACACGCATGTGCGTGTGTGTTCACGTGTGTACACGGGATGTACATACATCCACACTGCTACAGGTGCGTGCATGTGTACACGGGATGCGCACGTGTGCACACAGAGGCCTTTCCACTTAACACCTCACTGTTCAGAAATCAACCACAAGATGCCATGGAGATTTCCTTTCCTTTTTTTAAAAGATGACAAATGTACAGATATTAATATATTTTTGGTGCCGACGGCGACTATTTTTAAGAGCGGGGTGGAGCTGGCTCTTCTCCGTCCCCACACGGTTCTATTTATCCCGGACATTTCAGACCCCTCTGTGCCTTGGCTCTGGGGTGGCTGCCTGGCCCACCGCCCAGTCTGTGTACCTCCTTTTAACTCCCGGTGCAGTTAAGCCGCTGTACGTCTCCCCCAGCTGCTCCCTGGAGGACCCCGTCCTCCCTTCCCGCCCGTCCACCACAGAAGCTCAGCCCCTTCCCGTCTACATGCTTTCAAGGCAGCCCCGGGTTACTCCCCTCCTCTTTGTCTCCTGAGGACAGCATCTGTGGAGTGACTCACCATTCCCGGGGCGGGGGGAGGGTTTGTCCAGCTGTGGCTTTCGGGGCGACCAGGTGGGATGACGGGTCTGACACCCAGAGTCTTTGCAGGAGTAGTGAGAAGAAGCCGTGCTTGTCTCCTGGTAGAGTCAGAAAGCCAGGGCAGCAACAAAAACTTAGGGCAGATGATAACCAAACGTACCAGGAATTGTAGAGAAAGGGCCGTGTCAGGTGCAGGACGGATTTCACGTCCGCCGTTGTCTGTGGCTTGGAGTGCCCAAGGGGAGAGCTGCCCAGGGCTGGTCCGTTCTGTCTGAGGAGCTGAGAGGAAAAGATGCTCACACTTTGCAGTTTATCCCAAACAACACTGGTCCAGGGGGCGGGGCACGTGTGCAGGACCCCTGTCCGTGTCCTGGAGGTCAAAGGGAGAAGTGGGCTGGGGTAGGAGCCAGGCTCAAGAGACTGAGGGAGGTGCCCTCCACGGAAGACCACAGCACAACGGAAGCCAAAGCCCGTGGACACCCAGCCTCGGTGTCCTGTCTCGAGAGAGCGGCGTTAGCCTGTGTGACCTGGGAAGGAGGCGCACGTCTTCTGTCTCCTGAACGTGTCTTCCGGCACGTCTGTCTGTCTCCTGAAATGTGTGTGGACGGCTCCTGAACTCGTTTTGTTTTACTGTCTCCCGTGTGTGGCCGGCACTGCTGTTCTCTGAAGGCCCCACCGTCCCACAGCACGTTCCCTGCAGGGGGGGCTTTGTTTACAGCTCTGTGTCCCTGGGTTCCTCGCCATCTGAGGGAGCCATAGGCTCTGTGTTGTCTGTTTAATTTTATAACTCTCCCCAACTATTAAACTATTTCTTCCTGTATAGGCCTCTGTTTTTTCCCCTGCAGGGAGATTAATCTGAACAGGTGATTGAGTCTAGTCAAAAAGTATCCGTCTGCTCACTGGTACCAGGCAAGACGAGCTGCGGCCCAGGGTCTCCAGGACGTGGCCTTGGTGGGGCAGCATGGCGCCCCCAGGCTGGCTCTTCAACTGCCTAAAACTCCCCCACTGGGCCCTGGAGCTCTCGGCGGTCTGTCGGGGTTCAGGTCTCAGCCACTCCGGCCAGCACTCGGCTGGGGTTGGACCCCAGGGTGGTGGCACTCTTTTAACAGGCACTAAGTTCACGTCCCGGGGACTTGGGTTCAGGCCTGCTCGCTGCTCTGCAGGCCGTCTGAGGCAGGGGCTGGGAGCCCAGCCCACAGAGAAGGTAGGAAACAGGTGGACAGGCAGTGGCGCGGGGACAGCTGGCGGCGGCCTGGCTCGGAAGCTCACCGGCACCGCGTGGCTCTTCAAAGTAGAAGGAATGACAAAACCGCAGGCCAGATGGACCACTAGAGGTGGGAGGAGAGAGACCACCAGGCCTGCATCCCAAGAGGCTGGGGAAGGGGAGCGGTGAGCTGACCTCTAAGGCTCCCTGGGAGAAGGTCAGAGGAGTGAGAAGGCCCCCACCCTCCTCCTCAGCTGCTGTCAAGTGGGCCCCCAACTCACTGCGACTTCATGTGACAGAACTGCTCCAGGGGACACCAGGCGTTTCTTAGGCAGCACTGCTGGGTTCTTAGGAGGTTAGCCGCCCGTCCCAAACCATTGTCCCACCAGGCTCCTTTAACTAGCCCCCCACACATACTTCCCCTTCAGAGAGCCAGGCCTGGAGGTTTTGGCTAATCTGTCGAGAAACCTCCCAGTTTGAGTTGTTATGTGCCGTTGAGTCGGCCCCAACTCATAGCGAGCCCTCCTTGGGTTTCCGAGGCGGTATCACTATGGAAGTAGATTGCCCACCCTTCCTTCCGAGGAGTGGCTGGTGGGTTTGAACCACCAGCCTTCTGGTTAGCAGTCAAGCGCCTTAGGCACTATGCTACCAGAGCTCCTAAGGGCCGACTAAATCCCATTTTCACCTGCCCCAAGATGAGCAGAGCCCATTGTAGGCAGCTCAGGTGATTAACTGCTCTGTAAACTAGAGGAGGAGGCCTGAAAGCGCCCAGAAGCCAGCGGAGGGTGGGGGCGGGGAGCCCCGGCTCTCCCACTCCTCAGAATCTCTCCAGGGAGCCCCGGCTCTCCAGAGCCCTCAGAAGGGCCCCCCCTGATGGGGTCGGCCAGACTGCCACAGTTTGAGGGCCCAAATGTTTTCTAGACGGTGGGACGGTTGTTAAGGGAGAAACTAGAGAGGTACCGGGGACTATGCCCCCAGCCAGCAGGGAGGGAGAGAAGCAAGTCAATAGTAACCAAGGGCAAAGGGCGTGGCCAGGCCCCCAACGCCCGAACTGAGAAAAGGAGCGTTTTGCATCTGAAAGAGCTGGGAGGCTTCCTGGAAGAGGTGGACTGGAAAAGCCAGGGCCAGGGAATAGTACCCAGAGGGGTGCCAAGGGGCGAAGACCCAGAGAAAGAGGGTGACCAGTGGGGTGGGGCTGAGGGCCTCCTTGCTGGATCCACGCTGCCCGCTGGCTTCACTCCTTGCCCACAGGCATTTGTTCGAGTACCCAGAGCACTGATAACCAAACGAGATTCTGAGACAGGAAAGTTGGGTGGGATTTCATTTCGCAGGACGACCTTATCTGTGTCTGAATAGAATTGTGCTCCATAGAGTTTTCAATGGCTCAGTTTTCAGAAGGAAATCACCAGGCCTTCCAAGACGCACCTGGGTGGGTTTAAACTGGTAACCTTTCGGTTAGGAGTTGAGCACTTAATCCTGTGTGCCACCGAGAGACTCCAAGGGCAAAAGGAGAGTCCAGTTTCTATACCTAAAAAGTAAGAAAGAGAAAGCAGCCAAGTGTAGGGTGGGGAAGCCCTTCACCGTGCGTACTACTCACACTCATAATGGATATTTGTACGCATTTTTAAATGCTTACAACGGGCATGGATTACGTTTTACAATCAGAAGGAAATAAGATTGTAAAACAATTTAGGGGCTTTAGTTGACTTGAAGTTCAATATGTCAACAAGGAGACCCGGCTGCCAAAAAAAAAAAAAGCTTCCGTGATCTTAGGCAGTAACAGGAAGCTGAGGACAACCAAGGTCCCTCCCCTGCTCGGTGCAGTCATCAGCGTCCTGTGTGGCAGGGCAGGAGCCAGGCCCTGGAGTCGGGAGACTGCGGCCCAGCCCTGCTTGTCATTGTCTCTGTGACCTTGGGCAAGTCACTTAAGCGTCCGCCTCGTCAATAAAACGAGATGGTTTCCTGAGTTCTAAAGTCCCCTTCTGTTATAAAGACTTTATGTCTGCAGGCCCCCAGCTAAGTAAAGCACCTGAAGAAACTCACAGACAAACCTCGGGTGGCAGAGCCAGGCCAGCGTTACATCAAACAAACAAACAAACTCACTGCCCTCAAGTAGATTCCAACTCACACTGACCCCCATTGGGTTTCCGAGGCAGTAAATCTTTACAGAAGTAGATCACTTCATCTTCCTTCTGCGGAGCGGCTGGTGGATTTGAACCACTGACCTCCTGGTTAGCAGCCACATGCCTCATCCACTCTGCCGCCAGCAAACATTAGAGGGAGGATTAAGGGCAATGAGAGAGATCTGTGACGGAGGCGACGGGACATGGCTGCCTGCCTGAGGGAGAGGGAGCAGGCATAATGCAGGTGGCTGTGGGGGGGCAGAACCAGAGCCGAAGGATGAGAATTAGGGGAGCAGATCCATCTTCCAGGCCACGGGTGCTGGCTGCTCAGGAGAGGGAGGGCCACCCCCCGTCACTGGAGGGCCATCAGCAGAGGCTGGGGACGCATTAGTTAGGGATTTGTGAAGGGCTCTGTCCTGGGACAGAGGCTGCGCTAAACAATTCCCAAGACCCTTTCCAAGCAAGGAATTCTATAAGGTGGGCCAGACGGCAGTGGCCTCACCTTCCCCAAGAAGGCCCAAGCCAGGCGGCTGTGCCCTGCACACGTGAAGGATGTCCAAATAGCAAAAGCTCAGTTACGTCCACATTTACCACAACAGAAAAGAACCCTGCTCCGTCCGAGATGTGAGCAGCCAGGAGTGAAAAAGAAACCCCTCGGAAGGAAGGTTGGGCAATCTACTTCCGCGGAGTGATACCACCTCGGAAACCCAAGGAAGGGTCGCTATGAGTTGGGTCCAACTGATAGCACATAACAACAACAAAGATGGGACCTGTTGGGAAGTTGTCCCTGACTCAGGG